AATGGAGATTTTTCTTTTTGTATAGCTATGTGATGTTCCTTTCTTATATGGAAGGCTTTTCAAAACTGTGATACTTCCAAATTCAGGTGATCCTAAGGTCCATTTAGAATTTCCCAACTAATAATTTTGAAATTGTTTCTGTTTTGTTTTAAGACTTTAAATGCCTCTGTACTTTTATATCATGAAAATTAAATATGAGTGGTCACTATTGATGATAAGTTCCAAATAACTACTATCACATATAGATATAGCCATATCTGACTGAGCATCAGTTCCAGGGCTTATAAAGTTCCAGAAATGTCACCTTGATTTCATAAAGTTCCCAATATTTCTGTTTTCCTCTAAACTTCCTTGCCCTGCTTACAGGCAAACTACCTTAGTTCTGCCCAAATAAAAAATCTTTCCACTCTAATCACAGCAAGAATTTTGTGATATTAAGATAGACAGTAATAGACCACACTGTTACCCATTATGTTTCCACTACGCTTCTTCTCTTTCATATTCGTTTTCTTCTCTCTCCTTTATCCTTTGCTTTCTTATGATGATTCAGTTCAGTTCAGTTACTCAGTCATGTCCAACACCTTGTGACCCCATGGACTGCAGCACGCCAGACTTCCCTGTCCATCACCAACTTCTGGAGCTTGTTCAAACTCATGTTCATCGAGTTGGTGATGCCATCCAACCATCTCATCCTCTGTTATCCCCTTTTCCTCCTGCCTTCAATCTTTTCCAGCATCAGGGTCTTTTCCAATGAGTCAGTTCTTCATGTCTGGTGGCCAAAGTATTGGAAGTATTCAGCTGAAGTATTCAGCTGAAATATTCAGCCAAATACCAAATAAGGCCAAAACTGAAGTATTCAGCTTCAGCATCAGTCCTTCCAATGAATATTCAGGATTGATTTCCTTTAGGAATGACTGGTTTTATCTCCTTGCAGTCCAAGGGACTCTCAAGAGTCTTCTCCAGCACCACAGATCAAAAGCATCATTCTTCAGCACTCAGGTTTCTTCATGGTCCAGCTCAAACATCCATACATGACTACTGGAAAAACCATAGCTTTGATTATATGGACCTTTGTAGGCAAAGTTACACCTCTGCTTTTTAATATGCTGTCTAGGTTGGTCATAGATCTTCTTCCAAGGAGTAAGTGTCTTTTAATTTCATGGCTGCATTCATCATCTGCAGTGATTTTCGAGACCAAGAAAAGAAAGTCTGTCACTGTTTTCCATTGTTTCCCCATCTATTTGCCATGAAGTGATGGGACCATTTGCCATGATCTTCATTTTTTTTGAATATTGAGTTTGAAGACAGTTTTTTCACTCTCCTCTTTCACTTTCATCAAGAGATTTTCTAGTTCCTCTTCTCTTTCTCTCATAAAGGTGGTGTTACATGCATATCTGAGGTTATTGATATTTCTCCCAGAAGTCGTGATTCCAGCATGTGCTTCATCCAGTCCAGCATTTCACATGGTGTTTTCTGCATATAACTTATATAATCAGGGTGACAATATACAGCCTTGACATACTCCTTTCCCAATTTTGAACCAGTCCATTGTTCCATGTCCAGTTCTAACTGTTGCATCTTGACCTGCATATAGGTTTCTAAGGAGGCAGTTAAGATGGTCTGGTATTCTCATCTCTAAGAATTTCCCTCAGTTTGTTGTGATCCACACAGAAAAAGGCTTTACATTAGTCAATGAAGTTGAAGTAGATATTTTTCTGGAATTCTCATGCTTTTTCTTTGATCCAACACATGTTGGAAATTTGATCTTTCCTACAAATCCAAGGCTTTAGTGACACTTACTTTCAATACCCAAGCACCACAGTCCCTATTCTGAGAGGAATTCTGGTGGCATGTTAATTTGAGAAATTTCCTTGGCTAGAACTAAAGTTAGCTCTGTGTTCAGGTAAAATTGAAACTGAAGAACAGTTCACTAATACAAGATATACCTTAATTGTCTTCTTATGTAAGTGGAATCTGAAGATAGCCCATGGCTACATGGCCATTTCATCATTAGCACAGATTTATGCTTCCTTATGGCCCACCATGGCTCCTACAGGTTCAATCATCCCTGACTACCTTCCAGCCAGCAGGAACAAGAATGAGAGAAAAAGGGATGGATAGTCTATTTAGGGCTACTTCCTGGGATTCCCATGAAGCATTTCTGCCAAAAAGTTAGTTATTTTATCACAACCAGCATTTATTGGATGCTTAAGGCCTGCATCTGAATTCCCAGTGGCTATGTGCCCAGTCAAAAGTTAGGAATTCTATTATTAAAGAAGTGACTGAGCATATATTGGGGACTGCTAGATATGCTTGCCCCAGCAAATTATTTTAATTCCCATTTATAAAAGATGCATAGAAAGAGAGCATATATGTTATGATAAAAGAGAAAACCTGAAAGGAAAGGAACAGTGGTGTAGAGTAAAACAAGCAAATCAAGAATATAGATAATAGAGCTTCCCTGGTGACGCAACAGTAAAAAATCTGCCTGCCACTACAGGAGACATAGGTTCAGTGCTTGGTCCAGGAGGATCTCACATGTCCATAAATACATAAATTAAAAAAAAGAATATAGATAATAAATGAGTAGAATGGAAGAGGTTCATTTCACAGTTGCCATTCTCCTATTCAGTTCCGTTCAGTCACTCAGTCATGTCTGACTCTTTGCGACCCCGTGAATCGCAGCACGCCAGGCCTCCCTGTCCATCACCAACTCCCAGAGTTTACTCAGACTCATGTCCATCGAGTCGGTGATGCCATCCAGCCATTTCATCCTCTGTCGTCCCCTTCTCCTTCTGCCCCAATCCCTCCCAGCATCAGGGTCTTTTCCAATGAGTCAACTCTTCACATCAGGTGGCCAAAGTACTGGAGTTTCAGCTTCAGCATCAGTCCTTCCAATGAACACCCAGGACTGATCTCCTTTAGGGTGGATAGGTTGTATCTCCTTGCAGTCCAAGGGACTCTCAAGAGTCTTCTCCAACACCACAGTTCAAAAGCATCAATTTTTCAGCACTCAGCTTTCTTCACAGTCCAACTCTCACATCCATACATGACCACTGGAAAAACCATAGCCTTGACTAGATGGACCTTTGTTGGCAAAGTAATGTCTCTGCTTTTTAATATGCTATCTAGGTTGGTCATAACTTTCCTTCCAAGGAGTAAGCATCTTTTAATTTCATGGCTGCAATCACTGTCTGCAGTGATTTTGGAGCCCAAAAATCTAAAGTCTGACACTGCTTCCACTGTTTCCCCATCTATTTCCTATGAGGTGGTGGGACCAGATGCCATGATCTTAGTTTTCTGAATGTTGAGCTTTAAGCCAACTTTTTCACTCTACTCTTTCATTTTCATCAAGAGGCTTTTTAGTTTCTCTTTACTTTCTGCCATAAGGGTGGTGTCATCTGCATATCTGAGGTTATTGGTATATCTCCCGCAGTCTTGATTCCATCTTGTGCTTCTTCCAGCCCAGCGTTTCTCATGATGTACTCCGCATATAAGTTAAATAAGCAGGGTGACAATGTACAGCCTTGACGTACTCCTTTTCCTATTTGGAACCAGTCTGTTTGTCCATTAGTAATTAACAAAAGAAGAAATAAATAGGGTTCAGTCTGAGTATTTGAGTATGTGACTTCTAACTTGACATAATGGCCAACATTATTCTTTTCCTTTTTCTCACTCATTTTGACTATTAGTATCAAATTCTCTCTATGAATTGGACAGTATTGACTATACTTTTGAAACAGAGAATAGGAAAAATTCCTTTCCATCAAGTAGCTCTTAATCCAATGGAGAATCCAAACAGACAAGCAGAAAAGTAGAATGGATTACAGAAAGAAAGATTTCCTTCAACACATTATAAGTTGTTAAAAATATTTTTATAACAAATGTATCATGAAATAGAGCTCAAAAATTTTAAAGTACATGGCAAGCCACTCTTTGCCATTAGGAGTATGTCATTGAAAAATTTTATGTGCTGCAAAATGAGAAATGACTTGCTCTTATCAGAGAGCTGAGGTTGTCAGCTTCAAGTATGTAAACTTGAAGGAGTATAATAAATTATAATAGATATAATTCCAATCAAATTAGGAGGAAATTTACCATAAACTAAGCAATGGTTGATAAAGTTTTGGATTACAGTAGTGATCATACAGATGAAAAGAAGGGTTATAGTTTTAAGAATAATTAGGAGATACAATAAATAAAACTTGTTAATTAGAACTGGTGGATATAGAAGATGTTAAGTCAAGGAGGCAATTCTAAATTCCTCCCAACTGGGTAACTGGCTGAATAACAATACTGAGCATTGGCATGGAAATTAATGAAGATGAAATATTTAATGGAAAATATGTAAATTATTTTAGATCTTATTAAAGTTGAGACACTGGTATGTATAGTCTTCTAGAATGATCAGTATAAATTTGTTTTAGGGTTCTAGAGACTTGAGCAAACCTGTCAAGTAATGAAATGAAGCATTTAGGAAGAAGAGAGAGAAGAGAGAGTAACAGGGTTGGTATAAGGTCTAAAGATGACAAAGAAAGACGAGGTCAGGAGTCCAAGGGGAATGACTGCCTTTGAATATCAGAAGAAAAAAAAAATCATCCTTGGAACCAGAAAGTGAAGCCAAATTCTGGTTTATCACTTGTAAAAATTTACATTTCCTAGCCATGTTTTATTGATAAGAAATCTTAAAATCAGAAATTCATACTAATCCTTGGCAAACACGGGAATCAAATCTTGATATGCCAAAATTTCCTCCATGCTCTTTTTACTACATGCTGGTTACCAAGAACACTTCACCTGGGAAAATTTTTAGCTTTTTCCTTTCCAAGATTTATGTTGAACTATTGTAACAGTAGCACTACATTTTTTCAACCACTCTCCACCACTTCCAATAACACAAAAGTATATAACACTTTATCATCTTTATATAAAAATAATTGCTTGTGACAACAAAGATGAGGTCACATTGCTATTTGTGCTCATATGCCATTGTTTCTCAGTTCCCCCAGGCAAGAAGTTACCCATCTCAGAAGAAGCCTAGAAATTGAGAGCTTTGAGTCCTCCGATATTAACAAGTCAGAGAATCTGTGAAGAGATTGAGAAGAATTAGAAGCAGTCAAGAGGTAAGAAGAAAAAGAGGGGATATTTCTTTTCTAGAAGCTAAATGATATCGTATGGCAAAGGGGAGTCGAGATCACCTGTGTTAATTGTATTGCTATGTCAAGTGAGATGAGAGCTGAGACTGACAATATAATTTATCAAGGTCATGGTTGTTGATGATCATGACAAGAGCAATGTGAAGTGCTAAAGACAAAGCTGATTGGAATGAATTTCAAGCAGCAGTGAAAGGGAAGACCTCCAGGGTACACATTTCTTAGAGGATTACTGCTGTAAATGAAAACATCAGTGTTTGAGTGGTAACTAGGAGAAGATATGAACTCACGAGAGAGATTTGTGTATTAAACTTTTAAAGTATTAGGATGACTATATACAGATAGAAAAGATTCAATAAAAGGAGAGCAGGTATTGCTGGAACAATGGCTTGGGTTTAAATGAAAGAATGTGAAATATAAAACATAAGTTAATGAGTTACTCTTAGATAAAAGCAAAAAGTGAATCCATATTAATAAAATGAAGCATGGGATCAAATAGAAAGGATGATGGTATCTCGCTTATGGATTTTATTTTTCTTATTATTGCTTTTATTTTCTTGGTAAAGTAAGAAACAAACTCATAGTCTGTGTGTGAGAAGAAAGGAAAGAATTTTGAGGGTTTCAGCAGGGAAAATAAGAGGTTTAATCATTGTCTAGGAGCATGAAATGGATGGATAAGGAAATGTAGCAATGTAGTTTGGGGGGCTTCCCTGGTAGTTCAGACAGTAAAGCGTCTGCCTGCAATGCAGGAAACCTGGGTTCAATTCCTGGGTTGGGAAGATCCCCTGGAGAAGGAAATGGCAACCCACTTCAGTACTCTTGCCTGGAAAATTTCATGGACAGAGGAGCCTGGTAGGTAGTCCATGGGATTGTAAAGAGTCGGACAAGACTGAGAGACTTCACAGTTCACAGTGTGGGTGTCAGGCAGCATTAAGGGCTCAATTGAAAAGAGTGGTGGTAACTAATGTGAAACTACTTAGCATGGTTACATGTATGGATGCCAAACCAGCAGATATTTAGCATTGTTGAGTGTTATTTTACACAAGTATCTGAGGATTGAGAAAGGGGTAAAATTATTGAGGTTATAAATTAAGATGCTCTGTGATGACCTCGTTGGATGGGGTGGGGGGTTTGGGAGGGAGGTCTAAGAGAGAGGGGAGATATGTATACATATACCGACTCACTTAGTTGTACAGAAGAAACTATCTTAACAACTAACAACAGAAACAAGATTGTAAAGCAGAAATTGTTTCCAACTAGTTATGCAGCAGCAACTAACCAACAACTAACAACAGAAACGAAGAACAGTGTAAAGCAATTATACTCCAGTTTTAAAAAGTCTAAAAAAAAGGGTATATTTTACAAATCATTACAAGCTGTTTATATTTGTATAATTTTATTTGTTTTTTTTTATGACTGTGCTGGGTCTCACTGTTGCATGAGGGCTTTCCTCTAGTTGTGGGGCGCAGGGTCTACCCTCCAGTTGTGATGCGCAGGCTTCTCATTGCGGTGGCTTCTTTCGTTGCACATCACGGGTTCTAGGCACCAAGGCTTTAGTAGCTGTGGCTCCTGGGCTCCAGAGCATGGGCTCAATAGTGGTTCACGGGCTTCATTGTCCTGCAGCATGTGGGATCTTCCTGGACCAGGGATCGAACCCATGTTCCTCCATTGGCAGGCAGACTCTACCACTGAGCCACCAGGGAAGGCCTGTTTATAGGTTTTTAAGAAATGAAATAAAATATGGAGATGATGATATTGGCTATCTATGATGCTAGAGAAGCAAGGAATTTAATTTGGATAAAGAGTGATATGTGGGCATAAAGTGAGTGAGAGTTCATGAAGAGGAATAATGATTGTTAAAGTATAATTCTCAGAAGGAATAAAAAATTATTGGTGTCTCAGTGCTAGTCAGAGTTGTCTGGATGAAGTGGAGTCATAACTGGGCGCTTGAACCTGAGATTACAGAGGGGCTTCAGTTACTGGTAGTGATAGATGTTCTAGAGTTTGACTCAGGAAGTGAAAGGCAGGATATGGGGGTGAGACAAGTGGAAGACATGAAGTGAAGGAATTGAGAAGCAGTGCTGCTGGAAGAATGATCTATTAGGACACTGGTGTTGCCAAGAATATGGCAAGAGTAGATGAGAGAGGGTGATGACAAACTAACTAAATTCTCTGAGGAATGATTGGGAGTGATCTTGAGGTTGGTGAATGACTGAAGCTTCAAGGTGACATGTTCATGATGTTGTCATTCAATACTGGCTATTTCTAGCAAAGTAAGGGACAATCTGGTGTGAAACTAGGAATGAGGTACAAGAAGAGCACCTGCCTCACCATCAAGCTTACTTTTAGGAGAATCGTGGGAAGAGAAGCAGCTAATGAACAGTTTGGGGACTTCACAGAGGGCTAAATCCTGAAGGGATAGCCAAATTAAAGCAACAAGGCAAAGGAAAATGATAACTATTTTAGGCAAATAGTGGAGCATCAGGGAAATTGACTGATGACTCTGTGTTCCAGATGACACAGTGGAAAAGCCTCAGGAGTTACTGAGAGGAAGAGTTTGTACATCACTGTCTAGAGGATTAAAAATCTCAGGCACTGAGGAATAAAGTAGCAATCCACAGCTTCTGGTGGTGACTGAGGATATCACTGAGTTAGCCTTGAGGGTGACCAGGTAATGAGCGATGGGAAAACTTGGAGCACTGTGGGGATTGGAGGGGTAAAGGAGGAATCCCCCCCAGTGATGGGGATGGTGGGACCTGGGCAGCAGCTGGGACACAGCACTCTTCTGAGCTGCTCCCTGTAAGAGAGTTTGAGCCGAGTCTGAGTTCACTTTCCAGCAGGTACTGTCAGGCCTGTTCCCCCCCCCGCCTTGGGAAGGGAGGGATTCTGTTTGTTTTTGTTTTGTTTTCTCTTTTCTTAAGTTACCTTACTATAATTTTGAATGTAAATGTCTAAAATATCTGTTGACTTTTTTATTTTTGTATTTCTGAGTCTTGTTCTTAATTAGTAGCATATATCATCTTCATATATTATATGTTACCAAAAGTATATTGTAGAAATAAGCTCTTATCTTATTTTTGGTAACAAAAACATACTTAAAAGAGTAGGAATATTCCTCAGCTATTAAAAAGAATTCATTTGAATCAGTTCTAATGAGATGGATGAAACTGGAGCCCATTATACAGAGTGAAGTAAGCCAGAAAGATAAGACCAATACAGTATACTAAAGCATATATATGGAATTTAGAAAGATGGTAATGATAACCCTATATGCAAAACAGGAAAAGACACAGATGTACAGAGCAGACTTTTGGACTCTGTAGAAGAAGGTGAGAGTGGGATGTTTAGAGAGAACAGCATAGAAACATGTATATTATCTATGGTGAAACAGATCACCAGCCCAGGTTGGATGCATGAGACAAGTGCTCGGAGCTGGTGCACTGGGAAGACCCAGAGGGATGGGTTGGGGAGGGAGGTGGGAGGGGTGATGGAGAATACATGTAAATCCATGGCTGATTCATGTCAATGTATGGCAAAAACCACTACAATATTTTAAAGTAATTTGCCTCCAACTAATAAAAATAAGTGGGGAAAAAAAAAGAGTAGGTAAAAAGTCAAATAGAGGAAATGTTTCGTATTGTGGTGATATTCTACATGAAATAGATTTTTCAAATTTTTGAGATTTATAGTACACATCCATTGTAATTTATAAGATTCTCAGAAAACTTTCTAAAGGATTAGGTAATATTAATATTTATCTCCAGTTTTAAAGCAAGAAGATAGATTAAAGAGAGCTAATTAATTTGTCTAACAAAGGCAATGGCAACCCACTCTAGTACTCTTGCCTGGAAAATCCCATGGACAGGGGAGGCTGGTGGGCTGCAGTCCATGGGGTCGCTGAGTCGGACACGACTGAACTGCACTTTCATGCATTGGAGAAGGAAATGGCAGCCCACTCCAGTGTTCTTGCCTGGAGAATCCCAGGGACGGGGGAGCCTGGTGGGCTGCCCTCTATGCGGTCGCACAGAGTCGGACACGACTGAAGTGACTTAGCAGCAGCAGCAGCAGTACTGCTAAAACACATTAGACCAAGGATTTCACCCAGGTATATTTTTCTGGTTAATTATAATATTCTAGGTTTACAAAGGGCAGAGTAAAGGCTTACTAAAGGAAGCCAGCGGTATCACAGATTGGGGGCACCATCAACAACCTTTGGAATCTGTCAGGGCAGTTAACAGTTTCTTATGTAGAGGAAACCTAGGCAGCATTTTGAATGTAAGTGCAAGTTGACTTCCAGGAAGAGTTTACAGTTTTACTGTAAATACCTGCCTTATTGTCCTACTGTTGGCTTGCTTTCTGCCTGAGATATTTTAGCAGTCAAAATCTTGCTTGAATGGTCATCACAATTCCTCTCCCTCAATAAAATGTTTCTTGATCCCGAAACAGACTGTAACCATTCTTTAAATCTCCTAGTAGTTGTCTTTATACATTTATTCTGTTTGATTTGGATAATAACCAATACCATACCTATAAGCTATAGATAGTGATAACTAGTGTGGTTGGAAATCTTTAAAAGAAGGAAATATACATATACTACAGTGTTACTAGGAAATAAAGCTGAGCGAATGTGTTTTGTACAACATAAGATGCTAAACAAATATGAGTTGTATGCTATTATTAACAGTAAGAACACGTGGCAGGACATCATGGTTAAGAATTTAAGCTGTAGCTTGAGGTCTGTGTTGAAACCCAGCTCCAACACTTACTCATCTCATGGTCTTGGGCAAACCATTTACCTTCTCTGTGCCACAGAATTCCGATCTATAAAATGAGGCTAAGAAAAAAAACAAAAACTGCTCTATAAAGTTCATCATTCATTCTGTCAACAAGCCTTGACTATGGGTCAAATGGTGTAGGTGCATATTAAATTAATTGATACCTATAAAGCACCTAGGGACATTTAATGCCTT